AAGTACAGCATAGGAAATATAGTCAATAATAATATAATAACTATGTATGTTGTCAGATAGGTACTAGGCTTATTGGGGTGATCACTTCGTAAAGTATATAAATGCCTAATCACTATGTTGTACATCTGAAACGAATATAATTTTGTGTGTCAACTATATTTGAAAAAAAAGAAACGAATGGCTTATAAGTAGGTCATTTTTGCAGAGAATATTTGCTTTTCTTTATAATTAAGGTAGTATTTGTTCACTTAATCAAATTTGTGAAGCAATGTGTAACAAAAATTAAATTACTTACAATTCCAATACCAAAGATAACTACTGCTACAGCTTTGTTATAATTTCTTTTAGTCTTTTTTCTATGCAGTAAATGTTGCATTTCTATAGGTATAGAAACTCTTACATATAATCTTAAAAATTTTGAATTATGCTTTATATCTATAACTTTATATACTTTTCAGTTAATAGATCACATTTTCCTATGTTTTAAGATATTCTTCAAAGTCATGATTTTTTAATGTCTGCCTGATGATCTTATAGATGTATCACAAGTTATTTAATCATTTCTTCATTGTTGAATATGTTTCTAATTTTTTCACATAGAGAATGACAATCTAAATAATTTTTAAATAAAAGCAGGGACTCTTCACATTAAAATCATTTTAATGAAAACAAATTTAATTATAACACTGATTCTCTTTCAGCTGAATGCCTCATAAATTTAAGTGTTAAGGTGATTTTACACTAGCAAAACATCTAAAGTAGATTTATGTGAGATCCATTTTTTAGTAAAAATTGTTTATTGTTTTCACTTTAAGTTGTATGTATTTTGTAGCTTTTTGTATCCCCTGTATTATTTTGTTCAGGATGCTATAACAAAGTACCATAGACTGGGTGGCTTGAACAATAGACATTTATTTCTCACTGTTGTGGAGGCTGAGATTGCGGGTGTTAGCCGATTCAGTTCCTAGTGAGAGCCCTCTTTCAGACAGCCATCTTCCCACTGTATTGTCACCTGGAAGGGTGGGAGTGGGGAAGGGAGGGAGAGAGAGAGAGAGAGAGAGAGAGAGACAACAAGAGCTCTGGTCTCTTCTTATAAGGGCCCTAATTCCATCAGAAAGACCCTACCTTCATGACTTCATCTAAACCTAAATAATAACATTCCAAAGTCCACATCTCCTAATAGCACATTGGAGGTTAGGGCTTCAACATGAATTCTGGGGGTGGGGCACAAACATCAAGTCTGTAACGCCCAAGGGAAAGGGATTAAGCAGGACCTGTCCTCTGGGAGTGCATACTTGAGCCATTTGAGATTTCTGCCTCCCACACCCTCCTTTGACTTTGCTTTATATGTCACAGGTGACTGCTCTATCTATGTAGGTAGTCCCTCCCTTTATTCTCACCACTTCATGAGTACAGCTGTGATCACTATTTTAAATCGTATTTTGCTTATTAATTGATTTTCTATCTCTCTAACTAGATCACTAGCCCTATGAAGGAGGGACTCTATCTATTTAGTTCTCCATTGTAGTCCCACCATCCAGTAATGTGCCAAAAATGTGATTGACACTCATTAACTATTTGCTGAATGAATGGGGAAGTTTGCTAGATGTCCAACAAAGGGATCATTCAACCATGTTTTTGTGGATGGAGAATGCTGATTGTAGGACTCAGGAGAGCTGGGTTGAAAGAGTTTTCTGTCGGTGTGAGCATGGTATTTGAACCCCTGTCCTCTTAACCTCAGGGCCCTGTTTATCTGCCTCACTGCCTTCCTTAGCTGACTTGCATCAGGCACTCAGCCAGCTGGGGAGGAGAATAAGAATAGGCAGTGACAACTTGGTTGCTTTTCTGTAAGACATCCTCACTTTCCTTTGAGATGCTCTAAGGTAATAATTCCTAACCAGGGTTGTACTTCAGATTGACCTGAGGCTCTTCCAAAATACACATGCGCAACTCTACAATCTGAGATTTTCATTCAGTAGGTAAGTCAAGGACATGCATATTTCGGGGGTAAAAAAAAAATCTGGACAATTCTGTTTTGAATCCACGGTTGAGCCACTGCTCTTAAATAATTTGAAGTNCCGGCCCTTTCAAATATTTTTCATGTGCTCAGTCATTGATTTATTAATGCTGGGCTCTGGGGATAAAGCTAAGAATAAGATAGACAGTCCATTAATTGGGAAAGAAACAATAAACAAATGATGTAAATAAACGTAAAAACATTAACTAGCGAGATGCACAATGATGAAAATAAGACGATGTGGTGGGACCGCGACTGGTGGGAGGGTCACGTTCAGGATGTGCCTTTCACCCCCAGTGTGGAAGAGGCTCCATAAACGACATCTTGAATGTCAAGAAGGCGTCAGCCGTGGAAAGGTCTGGGGAAGATTGGGGTGGGGGTCCAGCTCACACAAAGGCTCTGAAGTTGGCCTACTTGAAGGACAGAAACAAGGCTGGCATGGCTGGAGTGTCCCGAACCAGGTGGTGGTGACAGGCTGGGCACCACCAATCCAACGGAAGCAGCGTCAGGGGTTCCCGAAAGCAGTAGGCTGGGCTACTTTAAGTATCGAGGGATAAGCTCCCACTCCCTTGTGCTCAGTTTGGGAAGAACCACCCTGGTTTGATATTTGTCTTTTCAGTCATGCTTTCAGTATCCCTTGCCATGATGGTAACTTTTGAGAGAAAGTCTCGAAGAGGTAGTTCTTCAGGTACCCCAATTTTAATTGAAATTAGGTGAAAGGACACATGGATTTGTTGCTGTTTCCTTTTCAGTGCCATTTTTGTGACAAGGCTTTTATGAACCAAGCTTTTCTACAGAGTCACATGCAGCGCCGCCACCCTGAAGATTCTCACCTTGGTAAGTACTGAGCTCTACTTCAAAGAGCGGTTTTCTTTCTGGTACCTTTTTCTTTTTTCAGTGAGACATGGTCCAGTGCATTTCTCAATCCTTTCAAAAGCAAGTGTTGTAGTCTTTGTTCATTCATGAAGTAAATATTGAGCCCTGCTATGTGCCATGCACTGCGCAAAGCCCTGATTCTAATGCGAGTCTTACATGCTAAAGGGAGGGGCAGAGGAGACACACTTAACTCAAAGAGTGATTCTTTTACAATGGTGGCAAATGCAACCAAGAAAATAAAGCAGGAGAATGGAATGGAGAGGGAGGTAGTCAGTGAAGGCTTCACTAAGGAGGTGATATTTGATCAGAGACCAGAATGATGAGGAAATCCTAGTCTGGGGGAAATCTGAGAAATGAATATCCCGGGAAAGGGGAACTCTGACTGTGAGGCGTAGAAGAGGGAGGCAGGACAGTGCCTTTGAGGACCAGACAGAAGGTTGGTGGAGTAGAGTGGGCAAGGCAGGATCTGTGGTGACGCAGGAAAGGAAGAAGCCAGGTCACCTGGGACCTCAAATACCCTGGGCAGGAAGGTGGGTGTTTTTATAAGCCTCGTGGGAAGCCACTGGAGGATTTTAAGTAGAGGAGGGACAGGACCTCATTCGTACCTTAAATTGACCCTTCTAGCTGCTGGTGGAGAACAGGGGCAATGGTGGGAGCAGGTAGCAGAGCGAGGAGGCTGCAAGAGTAGCCAGAGTGAGAGCACAGGCAGCCGGACCAGGATGGTACCAGGGAAGACGGGAGAAGCGAAGATGGAAGAGGGTATGTTTCAGACACAGAGCCCACAGAGAGATGTGACTCAGCATGAGAAAAAGAGATGAAGCGAAGGCGAGCCTCGGATTTTGTCCTATACGTTTGGGTGAATGGCAGTGATGTGTACCTAGATGGGGAACCTAGGGGAGGGAAGCAGGTTGAGGGAGGAAGGAGAATGGACAGTGTGTGTTGGCCATAGGTAAACGTAAGTTACACATACAATCACCATGCAAGTGCAGATGCTGGAGGCCTTTAGGTCAAGGGAGAGGCCCAGGCTGGAAATATAAACCTGGAAGTCATTAGCAGAGCTGGGCTGGATGAGATCACCTAGACAGAAAAGAGAAGACAGCTGAGGGCCGGCCCTGAGGCTCTCCCCCAACATTAGGAGTTCAGGGAGCAGCTGAGCAGAATGAGAACTAGCAGTTATGGAGGCTGGCGGGAAACCTGTGGAGTGTGTTGTCCTGGAGACCATGGGGAATAAGTGTTTCAAGAAGGAGGCAGTGGTCAGTTGTATCGACTGTTGCAGAGGCACAGAGTAAGATGAAGACTGAGACTTGACTGTTGATATCATCATGGATATTGGTGTCCTTGACATAACAGCTTCAGTGGATGGGTGGGGACAAAAGCCTGAATGGATGTGCTGAGAACCAGGCAAGCAAGTGTTTATGTCAATTACAGACATTTATTTTAGTAGCATTTGCTGGGAAGGAGAGCAGAGATGTAAGGCATACCCCGGCGGGGAATGTGGGATCAAGGGAAAACGTTTGTTTTGTTTGATGTGGGAGATACTAAGATGAGTTTGGGTACTGATGTGAATTAACTGCTAAGGGGGAAATTGAGGAAACAAGAGAGGGGAGTGGTTCTCTGACTTACCAAGGAACAGGTTTCCTGTTGTTCAAATGTTCTCACAAGCAGAGGATGCAAGGTCTACTTCTCTGTGAGCAGATCAAAGCGTTCCGCAGACTGCTGTACTAATCCACAGAAATTCTCATGATTTTAAATGTTTTCAGTATCTAGACATGTGTACTTCTAGCTTGTTACTCAGTGCCTGCTTTTGCCTCCCTTTTGGGCCAGTCTGTTTCCATTTCTGCCTATTTCAGGGAAATCGATTTATTTAGGAAATGGCTAACCTTTGTATACACGATATGAACAGCATAAAATTCCATTTATAAGCCATGGACCACTGATACGATTTAGCAATAAATTGGAGACACTGGAAAGATTAAATATTTTAATGAATTAGCATTCTTCAGTGTGAAACTGACTTTCTTTCTCTTCTGTTTCAGTACCTTATTCTATCTCATACTCATTTCAGAGAGTATTTCAGACTCTGAAACGAGTATTATTTCTTCAGGTCATCTTTGAGATTCTGACTTTCTACTTTGGTTTCCATCCCTTTCATGTCTACTCTCACAGACACATGTATATCCATTCAGTCATGTGTACATCTGCATGTAAGTACATGACATAAGTATTCTTCCCTTCACTTGTTGCTTCCTTTTAACAACTTTTCAGTACTTCGTTTTTGCCCATGGACGGGTTATGGCCCGAGTTTGCGTTTTGATTGCCAACCTCTGTTTGTCTTAGCATTGACGGGGTTCTCAGGAGAGTTCAGTGGGAGCCGGAAGGATAGTGACCATAGACATTTTAATATGGTGGCACCTGCTGTGAAAGCTGTTGCTTCCCCTCTCTGATTGAGACAGACATCTCAAAGAAGAGCCCAGAAGTAATCCTTGTCACCATTATTGCTCCCTGGATGGGCTCCCACACTGTCTCTGTGGGATAACCCAGCCTCGAGACAGTGGCTGAAAGAATCTGTTCAAAATAATTCAGCACCTAATAATACAAATAAACATTAAGGAGCAAAAATTGACTCATGTGGCATGAAAAAAGTATTAATATCCCAAGTAAGAGAAGTTTCCTTAGTCTATGTCTTATCAATAGGACTCTACCCTGTAACTTTTCAGAGGTGTCCTAAACGATGGTATTTTAATAAGATATTTCTGTTGCAACAGAGTATAAGAAAAAGGTGCAGACTGATAAACTCCAGAATGAGATTGACATGTTGAAGGAGCAGCTGCAGCACACCAAGTCTCAGTTAGAGGCTGCACAGCACGCCCATGCAATCAGATCCTCTAAGGTATGATACCAAATTCTGAAACAATGGTATGGTGGGAAGGGTTGGCGTTAATTCCTTTTGAATGTTTGGTAGAATTCACCAGTGAAGCCATCTGGCCCTGGACTTTTCTTTTTTGGGAGGTTTTTGATTACTGATTCAATCTCCTTACTCGTTATTGGACTGTTCAGATTTTCTATTTCTTCATGATGTAGTCTTGGTAGGTTGTATGTTTCTAGGAATGTATCCATTTCTCCTAGGTTGTCCAATTTGTTGGCATATTTTTGTTCATAGTAGTCTCTTATGATCTTTTGTGATATTATGGTATCAGTTGTGATGTCTCTTCTTTCATTTATAATGTTATTTATTTGAATCCTTTTTGTTTCTTTTCTTGGTTAGGCCAGCTCAAGTTTTGTCAATTTTGTTTATCATTTTAAAAAACCAACTCTTAGTTTTATTGATCTTTTCTGTTGTTTTCCTATTCTCTATTTCATTTATTTCTGCTCTAATCTTTATTATTTCTATCCTTCTGCTAACTTTGGGCTTAGTTCTTTTTTTTTTTTTCTGATTCTTTGAGGTGTTATGTTAGGTTGTTTGAAATTTTTTTCTTAATGTAGGCAATTATAGCTATAAACTTGTGTCTTAGAACTGATTTTGCTGCATCCCATAAGTTTTGGTATGTTGTGTTTCCATTTTCATTTGTTTCAAGTACTTTTGATTTCCCTTTTGATTTATTTGACCCATTGGTTGTTCAGGAATGTGTTATTTAACTTGCACACATTTGTGAACTTTCCAGTTTTCCTCCTGTTACTGATTTCTAGTTTCATACCATTATGGTCAGAAAAGATGCTTGATATAATTTTAATCTTCTTGAATTTATTATGACTTGTTTTGCGACCTAACATATAATCTATCTTGGAGATTGTTATGTGTGCACTTAGAAGACTGTGTATCTGCTGCTGTTGAATAGGACGTTCTGTATATGTCTGTTAGGTTGATTTGATGTATAGTGTTGTTCAAACCCTGTATTTCCTTATTGACTTTCTGTCTGGAGTTACAGTTGTATCTTCATGATAAATTGACCCCTTTATCATTATATAATGACTTTCTTTGTCTCTTGAAATCTTTTTTTTTTTTAATGTAGACATTTACAGCTATAAATTTCTCTCTGGGTACTAATTTGGCTGCTTCCCTTTTTTTGGTGTGTTGTGTTTTAATTGTCATTCATCTCCAAGTGTTTTCTAATTTCCCTAGTGAGTTTTTCTTTGACCCATTAGTTGTTTAAGAGTTTGTTGTTTAATCTTCATGGTTTTTATTTTCCAGTTTTCCTTCTGTTGATTTCCAGCTTCATTCCATTGTAGCTAAAGAATATACTTTGCATGATTCCAATCTTTTAAAATTCATTAAGAATCATTTTTATAACCTAACATATGGTCTATCCTGGTGAATTTCCCGTGTGTATTTAACAAGATTGTAAATTCTGCTGTATGTTTGTTAGATCAAGTTTGTTTATAGTGTTGTACAAGTCCCCAGTTAGGTTAAGAAAAACTGAAGGTCATTGAGAAATCAAAGGCTAATCAACTAGACCTAATATAAATGTGAATTTGTGTTTTTTGGGGGGTGAGATGGGGCTATTCTACATAAATTGATATGGTATCAAGAAAGATTCTTTTGCTTAATACTTTCTCTTTTAAAATATGTTTACATTTTACATATTATTGCATGTCTACAAGTTCACAGATCACAGAACTCTTGAGACTTTGGGCCACTATATTTGTATTTTAAGGGATGTAAGACCAAAAGGATGCTATGTGCTGCCTTTGGTTTGGAAAAATCATTGTGTAAGGACCTGCCATTATATGAAGTGTTACTACAAGCCTAACTGAAATATGCAATACTAGCTGACACATTTGACGTGAAGCTATGTCATCTGTCTTAGAAGTTTGCGTATTTGCTTCATACCAGAACTTTTAAAGCCGTGTATTAAAATAATTTCAGGAATATGAAATGCAGAAAACAAAAGAGGAAGAATTTCTGAAGCTAGTTGATAGATGGAAGGAAGAAGAAAAGGAGAAACTACTTGATGAAATGGAAAAAGTCAAGGAAATGTTTATGAAGGAGTTTAAAGAATTAACTTCCAAGAATTCAGCATTAGAATATGTAAGTATTAAACCAAGAAGTCCTCATAGTATTGGTAGAGTTGTTGCCTTGAGAGCTGGTGTTAGCATGACATGATGGCCAGTGAATCCAGAAGTTCCTTCATTGTACCTTGGCCCAGACATCCCTCCTCCCTGAGAGACTTGAGGGATCTCAAGACATACATAAGACAGAGCAAGTCAGAAAAATCTTTTTGTTGAGAATGGGAGCTTTGGCCCAAACCCCAGTGCAGAACACGTGGTACATTTGACCAGATCCTAGAAGAGGGCCCCTCTTTCCTTAGCTGATTAGGTTTAGAAAACCTTATGCCATAAACCCCTCGCTGAGTACTGGAACTTTCCGGAAAGGCTGACAAAGATCACCAATGTAAGAGGAGAAGGAAGCCAACCCGGAAAGACAGAGGGAGAACCTTCGCCAGTCCTGGCGGGCGAGGAGGACAGGCGTTCTGGAGCTGGCTGGATGTGGCTATATGAGCCCCCTGCCTTGTGGCAGCAGCCTTGCTGCACACTATTCAGTCATCTGCATGGATGACGGAGACGCCTCCCTGGCCTGTGACCTTCATCCTCTCTGAGCTCCTTCTCCAGGCAGTGGCAGTGTCCTCCAGCTAAGAATGGTCTGAGCTCGCGGAGCAGCTCAGTCCTAAATCATCCTCAGGGAAAAAGAAACAAGGGCGGCAAGGGAAGATCCTTGAGCTCCCTCTAGGGGCCAACACATTTGATAAACTAAAATAGAGGGATATTTTTGGAATACTGCTAAGATCCTTCTCTAAAACACCTCGACCTCTTGCATAAGGGTGGGCAAATTATGACCTGTGAATCAAACCTGTTTTTATATACCTCATGAGGCTAAGAAAAGCTTGTGCACTTCTAAATGGTTGAAAACATTCCAAAGGAGAATATTTCATGACATATGACAATTATATGAAGTGCCCATCAGTAAAATTTTTTTGGAACACAGTCATGCTCATTCCTTTATATTTTGTCTGTGGTGCTTTTGTGCTGGAGCAGCAGTGTTGAATAGTTGTGTCCGAGACCTTATGTATCTCACAAAACTGAAAAATGTTTACTATCTGGCTCTTTACAGAAAAAGTTTGACCGCCCCTGTCATATCTTTATAAAGTAAGTGTGGCACAAGGTTAACAATTGGTGAAGGCGAAGTAGATGTTCATTATACTATACCTTGAACTTTCCCATAAGTTGTAATTAGCAAACAAAAATTTGGGGGGGAATAACTTAGAATGGCTCATTGTGTCTCTTCTGCAGGGCTTCCTTCAGGCACGCTGTGCCAGTTCCGTTCTCCCTGTATTACCTCTCCTTGGTGGCGGTCCTTCCTAAGCATCAGGACCCCTAGGCAGTAGCATTCTCTCTATCCATAGTTTCTTTTACCACCCATTCTTCACGGCCCTCTCCTGAACTCAGATCTGTGGCGCCTTCTCAAAGTGGGAAGCCCTACTACCCACAGTAGTGGATTTTGATACTAACCAGTTTAAGACTGACTTCTTTTGTCTTCCCCATCAAGGCCGCACTCATTTTTTCCGCTTGTGATAAGCTGCCAGTTACAGGTATTTTGCCTGAGATTCCCTCCGTGGTCTTGCCCCCAGGACAATTATGGACTAGGACTTTTCACCACAGTTTTACCATTCCTACCTTTTTTTAAAAAAGTAGCTTTATTGAGACATAGTTCACATACCATATAGTTCACCCACTTTAAGGGTACAATTCAGTGGTTTTTCTTATGTTCAGAGATATGCAACCATCATCATGGTTTTTAGCACATTCATCACCCCAGGAAGAAACCTTGTACCCGTTGGCACTGCCCCACGACCTTCTCTCCCCCAGCCCCTGGCAACTACAAATCGTCTTTCTGTCTCCATCGATCTGCCTGTTATGGACATTTCATATAAACTGAATCATACAATATGTGCTGATTTGTGAGTGGCTTTTTNAGGATTTGCAGTACATGCTAAAAAGCAGTGGTAAAGGGACATCCTTGCCTTGTACCTAATCTTAGTGGGGAAGCTTTGAATTTTTCACCATTAAGTATGATGTTAGCTGTAGGTTATTGTAGATAGTCTTTATCAAGAGAGAAAAACTCTCCCTGAGAGTTTTGTTTTTGTTTTTGTTGTTTTTTTAACTCTCAGACTCATATACTCTGAGCCTCCAGCAACTTGTCAGTTACAGTTCAGGCTTCCCTACCTTCCACGCTGGGCGTTACTGCTGGTGAGTCTTGCTGTGGTAACCTGTACTCACCTGTCTCTCCAAGCTTGAAGGCAGTGGTTTACTCTGTGTCCTCCCATCTCTTACAGACCCAAGAGCTGATTTTTCAGTCTGTTCAGTTTTTTTTTTTACTTGTTTTTAGGGTGGAGTGGTGATTTTTCAAGCTCCTTACCTGCAGATCCAGAAACGGGAAGTCTCTTAGCTTTGTTTTGGTGTTTTTTGTCATATGGAAGTTTTTCATTTTGATGTAGTAAAATGTCAGTCTTTGCTTTTTAGAATAGGAACCACTTTTCACCCTGAGCTCATGACTGTTCTGTTTTATTCAAATAGTTAAGTATGTTCTTTTTCCATTTTTAGAAATTAAATTTACACACTCTAGGGTTCCTCATCATTTTCTTTCTCCCACGCTGCATATACATCTGAGTCGGTGTGGGCAATCCCTAAAGTACTGTGAGGCAACCAGAGCAGCCATCATGAGCAGAGAAGCCTGAAAAGATTGTTTAACGATTCTCTGAAATGCAATGTCGAGAAATATGCCACCAGCGTTAGTTTTCTGGGACACTAGAACCTGAAGTTCTGATACAGTTGTACTGATTAACAGCAAGGCAGCACATGAATAGAAGAATATGTAAATAAACAATGGAGATGAAACAGCAAAATCCAAACTGGGAGAAACTGCAGGACAAATGTTCAGTTTCTTCAGCAAAAGAATTGTAAGGAAAAAAGAGAGATGGAGGGGGTACCTATAGACTAAAAGAGAGTGAAGGGCCACAACCAGTTGCAGGATCCTGATTCAAAACAAATTAAAAATTGTTTCTAAGATAATGTGTGAAATATTGGGGGGAAAAATAACAAATGGTTGAATGAATATTTGTTGATATTAAGGAATTAATATTCATATTTTAAAAGATGAAATAATGATATGATTGTGTTAAAAGAAAGCCCTTTTAGAGATAGTTTTGAAATATTAACACATGAAATATCCACGATTTACTTGAGTAATCCAGGGGTGAGGATATATAGGAAACAAGTTGAA